ACATACACACTTTTTCATATATATATATATATATATATATATACATATATATACACACACACTTTAATAATATTAAACAAAAAAGAAAAATTAGGAAAAATTAAAAAGTATATAAAGAAACTTAAATACATGCATACATAAACAAATAAATAAATAGTAACAGGGCTTACTTATAAGTATGAAAATATTAACCTAAGCATTTTAACAATTAATCACCCTATTATGATCTGAAAATTATTATTCAAGCTACATCTAGGCTGATTAATGTATTAATAAGTTCGAATGGTTTTTGTTAATAAAATGACTCATGCAAGATAATCTGCCTACTAATCTGATTTCATGCATTGACCTACAGAAGTCTAGCAGCTTGAAATGATACACAAAAGCATTTGTATAAGAGTTAACTGCTTCCAGCTGAAGCCCCTTGCTGACACCATTAGTGTGAGATCAGTCTAGGCAGTGGACATGAGTCAAGACCGAGGTGCTTTTTTTAGCCCGATTTCTTCCCAGATCATCTTACTACATGACGAAGACGGCGTCCTCTATTTAGTCGTGCAGAAAAGATTAGAGCAGAAGGAAGTAAATACAGAACCAAGAAGAGCTCTAAATAAACTAAATTTCTAACATTCAGGATCAATGTCGGAGCTTTGATGCATGTTTGTGTTGACAGGAAGTTGTAGGCGAGAGAGAAAGAGTTGTTCAGAGGTGCTGAGAACACAATTCATATACAGCCTACATTCCAGTCTAGGTTTATTTCAGAATGTCGTATCAGGAGGAAACGTCTAGTCCACTTTTTTTCTCACTTCTTGTAATTGTTTCACCTTCAGCCTCTGATCAACAACACACAAATGATCCATTCACACTTGTCTATATGCTGAACGTACAACATGAGATATTAAATAAATGAAGGTTATTGTGATGAAACCAAGAATCGTTTCAAATTCTACAGTAAGTGTTAACTTGATTGAACTGAGCCTTAGCATATGCTTGTGTACAGCTATAAACAATCAATGACATTTACATAACTGGTACTGACAGAATATTTCTGATTCTAGATGTCTACCAATGTTGTTGTTTTTTTCTATCTCCAATAAAGATATGCAAAACTGATATTTTTTTCCCCCGACACAATAAAAAGCACTTAATCCCTGACTAGACTACAACAAACAATTATATGCATTAAGAATATTTGATCAACAACAACAATGAACTGTGACAAATTAACTATTAAAAGTATATTCCATCTAGTCACATTTATTTAAGACCATAAATCCTACATGCACAATAATTAGAATACAATCTGAACAGGTCACTACATGGTACAGTTTAAACTGAATGCCTATTTTATATCTTTATAGCTAACTATTATCATCCCACCTTTGTAATTTGAACGCTGATGTAATCTACTCTGTATCATCAAGCCTTTATCAATTCAACAAGTTACGTTTTGCGGACGATTTTAAAAGAATAGTTTATTCTGTCAAGCGTCATTTGTTAATATTCGATGGTTTTTGTATTTGATTTCAACAAAAAAAACTATAATATTAACTGTCCATAAATGATTAAATTAACACTTGTTTTGCGTAATTTTACAATATACCTATAGGTCCTATATTTCTGCTGACAAAGCTGTCTATCGACCGATAACGAGCACCTCAAAATTGCAAAATATCAGCAGAATTATTGATATTTCTGCCTATTTTTTTTACTATCTCTGGCACTTTCTGTAAAGTACAAGCTGAAGAACAATGAAAGTACTGAAAATGAGTGGCAATGGGTGGAGACACACAGACTGATACACATTTCCTTTTGTGCGCCGCTGCGCGCAACAACAAACCGTTACATTTAAAACAAGTCGCAACATTGTACCATTCTTGTATGATTTGGTCTGACCTCTTTGAGCTGGTCCAGCTCTTGTCTGACGCTCTCATAGTCGCTCTCCAGCTCCTCGAAGCGCTGTTTGAGCTGCTGGTTCTCCTCCAGCACCGCGAGCCCGTACTCCGCCGCCTGGATCTTCTCGCGGCTCGTCTCGCTCAGTTCCCGCGTCAGGCGCTCGTTCTCCGCGCGGAGCCAGTTGGGCCCGACCTCGGAGACCAGCAGCGCCTCGGGACACCCGTCCTCTTCCCCGGACATGTTTGCCATCACCCGGCACACTCTAACACAGGCGATAACGGACCGAGCCCGTTGATTCCACTTTCTCAACCATGAAGTTGATCACCAATCTGAAGTGTATGCAGTTTATTGGATGCACTATTCTTAATGTGAAAGTTCAAATTCCCCATTTGTTTCAATGTATAACTCCATGATTTCTTCTCGTTCGGATGTCATTCCTGAGATTAGGAGGGGGACTCGGTTTGCTGTGAGATCATCCAGCAGGAATACGAAGTGATTTTGTCTCTCCTGTTTTATGGGTAATGTAGTTCCATTCACATTTGCATGCGTTGAATTAGGGTTGTGCTAGACTACAAGACCCATAATGCTTTGTGTTCTGTACACGAAGGCAACACAGGATGCACAGATGGTCCATTGACTGAATGCCAAATTCAACTCCAAATGTTGCTCAATGCTTCCATCTGCTGATGGAAATATTTTAGGTTGTGAGATGTAGATGAAAAACTAGTTTCAAAGTTTTTAAAATCAGGGACTTCTTTTTTAAAATATAAAATAGATATATCCTATGTTTATGTAAAAATACCTATTTATACTTTGTGTGAATTTTTATTAATTAAAAACGTGAAAAATAAGTGAATTATTATAATTATTGTAATTTTAAATTAAATAATAGGCTTTTTTATTGCCATTGAAATAAAAATAAATTCTTAAAATATTATCTGGAAAACATGTACTTTGTTTTATTATTATTATTATTATTATTATTATTATTATGTTCGTTTTTATTACTTTTTCATATATTAAAAAGACAACACATTGTTTTCCTAAATTAAATAGAATAATAATAGTATAATAGCAATAGTATTTAATAATATTTATTATTATTATTATTATTATTTTACTTTTTTATATTTTTGTATATTATAAAGAAAACATTGTTTCTTAATAAATTAAACAATAGGCTTTTATTTGTATTGTTATTGTATTAAAACCAAAATACAATATTAAAATAGTATCTGGAAAATATTTACTTTTTAATAATACTTTATTATTATTATTATTATTATTATTATAGTAATAGCAATAATAATAGTTGTTGCCACATTTGTATATTTTATAACATTTCTCTTTTTCTGTAGTCCACCGTCACACTTCATGGAGCCAGTCTGAAAAGCCCTGCTCAACATTTGAAATTTAATTGTGTATCATTGTGTTTTCAGTTGACTGAAAAAACTGTTGTTTCCTTTTGTGTAGCCACCACAATTGTATGGAATAGAACAGAAAGCATTTGATTAAAGGGCATTCAAACCACACAACTGGTTTTACCCATCAATCTGAAAGTGAAAATATACTTTATTCATGCCAGCTCATCATTATTATCTGTCAAGGTTGAAGGCTGGCATGCTTGAATCAAAAGAGGGAGTAGCAGAATGAGCGTTTAATATCTCCAAGGTGAACTATCATCCCAATGGTAAATTCTTATTTAGCGCTCTCTCATTACTAAGAAAGATGTCATTCAATACTGCATGTTCAGTTACTGTACAATTCTGTTTTTAGGGTGCTTTGGATGTTTACAACCACTGTAAGTTTGCCAGATCAGATTTTAAATCGAAACTGAAAGTTGTACAGTATTTATTTATTTATTAATTCATTCACTCATTCATTCATTGTTATATACTTTTCCTTCAGATAAATGTTACCATTTTTTCTCTATCTGCTTTGGCCTGGGCTGTGGACTGTTACTCTACAGGCCATTTTACTGTAAGAAAAGGTTTTTGTGTGTTCCAGTATATGCATATATCATCCTATGAACAGTAGTGGGTCTTCAGACTTTAATGAAGTTAAAGGGGTCATATGATGCTATTTAAATTTTTCCTTTCTCTTTGGAGTGTTACAAGCTCTTGGTGCATAAAGAAGATCTGTAAAGTTGCAAAAACTAAAGTTTCAAATCCAAAGAGATATTCTTTATAAAAGTTAAGAGTCAGCCACGCCTACCTAAAACGGCTCGTTCTAACATGCCTCCACATGTCTACATCACGATGTGGGAAGATTTGCATAACGCCACCCAAATGTTCACGCAAAGAAAAAAGCCAAAACTTTTATTCTCGCTGTAGTATTGTTGTTGCCGCCGCCGCCATGTCGTGAAGACGCTGTGTGCTTCGTTGTGAAAGCGAAACTACTTTGTTTGGTCTTCCAAAAGAGGATGATATCTGCTTCGTCGTGCCTGGAGCTGTTCCGTGCTGGTCGCTGAGGAAATACATCAACTTTGCGCTGTCGATCGCCGGATCGGCTTTCACCGTGGACGAAGCGGAGTCCAGCCCGGGGTCGTCACATGTGGTTGCCGCAAGACTGCCGGACGCTCCTTCGTTGAATCTGCCGGCTGCGCCGTTCTCAAGCCCGCCGGCCTCCGCTCACTCAAGGCCACGGTGTGTGATGCTGTGTGTTTCATTGTGAAAGCGAAACTACTTAGTTTGGCCTTCCAAAGTTTTATGTTTTATGCAACGCAACGCGTAAAAAGACAGTATAAGTCATTATAATCAGTAATTATGTCCCCACTGGATGCAACAAATGCCTCGTTTATAATGGGTTTTAATGTTTTTGTCTCGTTGCTCCGGCCGGACACGGCATCACATTATGTTAGGGGCGTAGCATTTCCATCACACGCTTGAGGTATTCGGCCAATCACAACGCACTGGATAGCTGGCCAATCAGAGCACACCTCGCTTTTCAGACCGATGAGCTTTGTAAAAATCAATGCGTTTCAGAAAGGCGGGGCATAGAGGAGAAACAATAATGTACAGTATGTGGAAAATAATAATAAACACATTTCATTACACCAAATACACAAAATACTGTTATTTTTAGCAATGTCATATGACCCCTTTAAAAACCATTATTTATGTCCATTCTTATCTAAATTTTATCCATAAAGTCTTACACATGAGAAAAACACACTTTCAAAAAAGTTCTTTCAAAGGGTTCAAAAGTTTGAAGTGTATATTTGAAGTGTTTTTAAGTTCCTCTATACACATGATCAATCAATCTTTGAGTCAGTCATTTATCAACATCTTCATGTTTTCCAGCCATCGTGGTGCCGTCAATTCTTGCTGTGTTCTTCACAGTAGTCTTTGAATGTGTTGGTGCATCCTTTGGTAAGATGTTTTATTCAAACTTACGATATTAAATGAATCAGAAAATTGCAAAATATCAGTTACAAATTTGATGGAACAGGTTTTGTTGAGCATTTAACATTTTTAACAGGTTTGCCAGCACACACTGTAAGATGTAAGGGTCGACCTTACCACTGGAAAGGTAATTTTACTGTGTTCAGACAGCTTGCCCTTTCTTCCATCACGCTATTTGATTAATATGAAAACTGGTTTGTTATTAAAGACCTTTTTTTTGCTACAGATGTTATCTGGGGTTATTGTATGGCTTTCTTAGTGACCATCCTTCATCTCAGGTCTTACCATGGTATGTTAACCTCACAACTTCCTAACAGAGACATCAAGGTTTCTTTGTTGTGCCTCTTCCTTGTTGTTTCCTGAGCAGCAAATTAGCTTATTAGAATGATTTCTGAAGGATCATGTGACACTGAAAACTGGAGTAATGATGCTGAAAATTCTGCTTTGATCACAGGAATAAATAAAATGTAAAAAAAATATTCAAATAGAAAACAGTTCTAAATTCTAAATTGTAATAATATTTCACAATATTACAGTTTTTACTGTATTTTTATTCATAAATGCAGACTTGGTGAGCATAAGAGTCTTGTTTTAAAAAACATTTTAAAAATCTTACAGAGTATATAATGTTATAATCCAAGTTGACCAATTATTTTGCAGTTTATACTCTGTCTTGTGGCTTTGGCCTCGTTGTGTTTGCCATAAGAGGAGCAATACGCAAATATAATGCTCTATGGTGAGAACTTTTTCTTTATTATGTCGGGAACCTTTCATATGAGTTACTGCAGAGCATTGCAGTAGATTATTTTCTAAGAACACCCTAGAAAGACTGTTGTTCCTGTTTTTTAAACAGGAAAGCAAGGCGTTACTGTGATTGATCCAAAATTAATGCTCACTAAGAGGTAAGAAAGTTAAAAAAAAATATATATATATATTTGTTTGTATTTTTATAATACAACTGTGATCATTGTCGATGTCTTTTGCAGGTGTCCGTTTGTGCATTCATGCACATTTATTAAGTTTGTGTAGCGCTTTCCACATACATATTGTTTCAAAGCAGCTTTAAATCAAAGCCAATTGTCATGTGAATTTAATGTGATCTGATTTAATTTTGTACATTTCACTGAATTAATTTTGTACATTTCACAACATCTTATTTCTGATTTAATCTTGTTTTACTATTTGTTACTTTCTACATTTCAATTTTTCATCAGTTGTTTTGATTAATGATTATTTAATAGATTTTTCGAAGTTGTAAATCATAAAAAAAAAAGATTATTAGAGGTTTACAAGAAAATATTACTCAGGTCTATAAATAATACTTAAAAAAATTCACATTTAATCCAATGTGTTTATTAGTAATTAATTAAGTTTTCTATAAATTTCCGAGTGAAAATTTTCTACACCATTTTTTCAGTGTATAATACATTCTATGTAAATGTTAAGTGTTTTTTAAATTAAAATAAAAAGTATAGTTTAGTATAGTTTTTCATCTTACAAACAAATGCATTCTTCTTATTTGTTTGAATATACAACAGGTTCTCTTGACAACTTACAGTGTGACAACATGCCCAAATAGTGGCCAGTGTGTTCTTCAGTGTCACATGATCCTTCAGAAATCATTCTAATATGCTGATTTGCTGCTCGAGAAACATTTCAATGTTGCCGATAGTTGTGCTACTTAGTATTTTTGCAGATTAATTTTCTTCATTACGAATATACCGTTCAAAAGGTCAGCATTTATTTGAAACATAGCTTTACTGTCACTTTCAATCATTTTAATGCATCCTTTCGGAATAAAAGAATTAATAAGAAAACTCTTACCTCAAACTATTGAATATTAGTGTATTTGTAAGGAAATAAATGGAATGTGAACGCTACTTCTAAATGTACACCACGTACAGTATTACTATTATACTCACAGAGGGGTCATTCACAGTGAACGAGGTGGAGGGAGGGGCCACGATCTGAAGAGGAGGAGTCATGTGACAGTGTTTGTGGAGCTGGTTATTTGATTGATTTGGGTGGAGTGGGCGGGGCAAAGCGAACAGGTTCACTTGGCATTGGCCGA